TGTAAGATGAATACAAATATTATTTAATTATCTTATCTCTAGTCGATGTGGGACTTGTAAGATGATGGCTGTCTTCTACTTATATATTCTTTAATTTTCTTATTTTTGTAATTATTTTATCTCCTAATTAATTATTTTATCAATAGTCAATGTGAGATTTGAATTTTTCTCAATATATCCCCTCAAGTTTAGGGACTATTGAGTTTGGTAATGGTGAGTAATCTAATACTAACTTAGAATAGTAAAGTATAGGTTTAACTCAGTCCTATAAAACAAACTTGTAAGGTGAGAGTTAGCATTCATTTATATTCCCTTTAATTATCTTATTTTTAGTCGATGTGAGACTTAAATTTTTCACAATAAATAATTATCGCTAATAGTAATTTTTGGTGTGATACAAATATATTTATAGTGACCATTATATATTAGTCTTTAATATTTTTATTAAATAATAAAATAAAGATAATTAATTTATTAACGTTAAATAATTTAAATTTTATTGTAGTGCTTTCACAATCATTAAGATTTGAGATCCATTATTCGGGAAAAAAATATGCACCAACTAAATTACTTGAAATAATCTTAATAAATTTTAATATACCCATAAATCAACAATCATAAAATTTTAAGATGATTAAAATAAATTATTAAAAATTAAAATTCATCTCCAATTTAATAATTAGAGAAATTAAAATTCACGTTCAATTTCATTGTCACAACAATAAATTAAAATAATAATAAATTGATCAATTGTCGAATGACAAAGTCAATCCATCAATACAATGAAGTTTAAAATTCTTTGTAATTCATTAGTCTAAGTCTAAAAATTATATATATTCAAATAATATTTTAATATAGTACCAAAATAATAAATACTAAATAATACATAACACATGTAAATTGCAAAATTATACGATAATATAAGTTCAATAACAATTATCATGATGATTTAAATCTCACGATCATATCTCAATTCAAATCATGAAAGAGTCATGATGGCAATTTTAATTAAATTAAATTTAAATTTAATATAATAACAATCATCGAAGTAAATTAAGGTACAACTATTTTTACAAAAACACAAACGTCATTACAAAAAATGTTACATATAGTGACATACAAAAAATGTTATTATAGATACAATATATGTAAGTATATGTTTATTTAACATATAATTATACATAATTTTAGTATTGATTTTAAATGAGATTTAATAACATATTTTGTGTGTCACTATAGTTTATACCCACACTTTTTAATAATATACCAATATATATTATAGTTATTATGTAAGTAAAAATAATTTTTAATGATATGTATAATATATTATAAGATGTGTCACTATATAATAATTTTGTAGTACTTAGATTTATAATGTAATAAACATTGAAAAAACTTCCAATAAATGGCTAGCATTAAACTTGCAGGTATGCGTGAATACTTTCTTGCACATATGAAAACCATTTTTTGTCCATTTACATGATGATAAGCAAAATATCGGAATGTCATTATATATCATCCAATAATTGAAATCCAATTTGTCAATGCTGAAACAGTGTATTGTAAAGCGAAAACAAAATCGAAACTCTAAAAAGTCTATATTAAGGGCTCATATAAATTTGGGAGAAAACAAACAAGGAGAAACATAATAACTACTATATTTAATATTTTTAGCAACATTTGCATAATTATATTTATTAAAATATTATTATATGTAAATTAAATTAATAGATTATTACAATATTTTTTTAAGAAAATATTATTATAAATAAAATAATATGTTTATCTTAAAATTATTTTTTTATAATTTATCTTTCAAAATTAAGTCTCACACTGACTAAAAAAATGTTATGTAAAAGTATGTCTTTTATCTCTAATTATTTTTAAAATTAAAGTCTTGCATTGAGTAAAATAATAATACATAAAAAATATATATAATCATATAGGATGTGATATACATTTAGTGGTAACTAATGATATATTTTCTTGTTAATTTTTTTTAAAATATCTTAAATCTTAAAAAATTTGTAGACAAGAGTCATGAAGTATAACTAGTGATACAATCTAATTATCATTTTATAAAGTTTATAAAAATTCAACAACATTATTAAAATGTTACAAAATACCACTTTGGTAATATTCTTTAAAATATTTTTATTAATATGTAAAACTTTGGTAAAAGTCTTTAATAACAAAGGCTTTATATTACATTTGCTAAAACTGGAACTATCAAAATGAAAAATCTAGCTCGACCCATCACAGGTTGGACAATAGGTGGGTGGGTCAACCTAATTCAACTCACATTTAGATGAGCTTTAAAAAAACCAATTTAGCTCAACCCACTATGATTTTGTGGGTTAAATAGGTTGGTTCATTTAAATTAAAAAATAAAATAAAAATATTGAACTTTATAAAATATATCATAATTTTATATTTTATAATTATAAATATATTAACAAATAGGACAAATAAAATGTTAAAAAAATAAACATTCAAACTAACTTAATTAACTTGTAAAATTAAAGTTGTTACATAAAATATTGACAAATAATATTAAATTTATACTAATTATCATAATTCACAAATAGTATGTACAAAATTTAGTTAATAATATAAATGTATAATCACAAAAATTAATATTTAAGAACATAAAAAATAAAAAAAAAAATAAAAAATATATTAGGTGAGTCAACACGGCTCACCACAAATTAGCTTGTGGTGAGTCGAGTTGTAAATAAGTTGGACCAAATTTTTTATTACCAAAATAAATCAAAATTTTATAATCCAATCGAGCTTAAACTTGTGATGAACCGAATTGGCTTGCGAGTTTTGATCTACTTTGACAATTCTAGATAAAATGGTGCAAAAGTATACTAACAACATTTACTCATAATTTAAAAACATTTTTCTAATTTTAAAAACATGTTTTATTGTAGTGCATAAGATTTCATAACCTAAACTCAGATACTAAATGCTAGAAAAATAAAATCTTAATTTGTGATTTATAATAGAATAAATGTACCTCTTACAATTATTGCTACCAAACTACAAAATATATATTTAGATATTTAAAACTCTTCTAATCTTAGTCTTCCTTGAATTCATTAACTAATGGAATAAGTCCTTTTATAAGTAAAACTAGATATCATGTGTCTTATTATCATAATAAATTTTTATTAATTTCTTTATTTAAAATCAATAAAATATACTTTACAACAACTCCTTGATATGAAACATAAATTCTTATATCCTCATCACATAATATTTTTCAAACAACTCGGTGTATATGGTGTCAGATCAGAGATGTAGCCCAAGAGAAAAAAATGTGTTACTAATTAACTCTTGCTTCCTTTTAATGATACAATATAGCATAACCGGTAGTAACAAAAAACATACCAGTCGAACCAGCAATAGTAACTAATTGGTAGAAATTGATGTAGGCATGGTGTTATATATAGGATGCAAAATGATTTATATTGATTGGTAGCAGAAATTGGTATTTTTTACCTCTTGCGGTTTGGTCCATATCAGACACATGCATGATGACTGCTACCAAATTTTAGCCTCACATCACAATCTTGGTTTGTCGTTGTTCCCAAAACCTAGTGGCTTGGCCTATACCTCCACATGCCCTTGTTAAACTTACTCTGATTCTAAGGATGTCATTCATTCACTCTTCACTTTCCACTCATCTAATGCTGTTATGGTGGATATAGATCCTCTTCCTAACACTTATATAACAGGAGCTGCTATATGAAAATCTCTCTTACTCTGATGGAAGGAAGTCACTACAGAATGATTTCTTACTAAATTTGGTGCTTCTGACGGTACATGTTTGCCAACATGTAGGTCTTGTTATTTTATTATTATATGCTAAAAGAAAATCACTTTGAGATGTTCATTTATAGCAAGATTGTCAGACATTCTAAATATATATATTTTATTATAGACAATATAAATATTGGAAGGAAGAAACAAGTGTGAAAAGAAATTCTTTTTTTTGTATACATGGTATAGTCACCTTCCAAATTCCAACCACTGAAGCTGAGGGAATGACCAAATGGTGGGTCATGGGACCTATTGCCTATTGGTTTTGAAAAATTGTCCCTTTTAGACTATAGCACGTGCGTTTTCTGGATCCTTATAATCTCAGAACGTGTTTCGCGATATCAAAATGTTCCAAAATGATACTCAGAACTTTTTCAAACCTACCTTAGTTAATCACTGAAAAGTCACCCTTCTGAACTTATGATGTGTGCTGCATAGCACCGCAAACTACATAGGTGATTGTAACAAGTTCCGTGGCTTAAGGGAGAAAAAGATCACCATTATTTTCCAAAAAAAAATGAGTGGAGTGGAAGCCAATATATTTATCATCGATCGAGAAGTACGTGCTAAACTCATAAACCATTTAACTAGTACTACTAAATAATGAAACCTTGGTCTTTGTCCCAAGTCTCAACTCAAAACTTAAACATACCGTTAATAGTAGCATAAGGAATCTGGCTTCATTTATTAATTTTTGGATAGTAGTAGGATGAGTATTTCATTATTATTATTGTTATTAATTATTAATTACTGTAGTTTCTAAAAAAAAAGAAATTGTTGGCGGCTATAGGAAAAAGTTGTTAACGTTGCGGGAAGTGGAGGTTCTCTGACTTTTGGTTTTGGCGTTGCTTTGTTGATTGAAGAAAGCATTAGCCCTTTCCCAAGTGAGAAAGAAAGAAAAGTTGGCTTTTGCTCGCGTGACGTGTCCGCCATTCTCACTCCATTCCTTCCTTGCCCTTTCTTCTTTCTTCTAGTCCTTCTTCTAGTCGAAAACGATTTTTTTTTTTTTAAAACTAAAACCAAAAATCAAATTACATAAAATAGGTTTGTTTTCCTAGTGAGTAGTCATCGACGAAACTCCGTGATCTTCGCCTCACAGTTGTTACATTTACACGTAACAACCTCGAACCTCCGAACTCACTTCATCATCTTTCGCAAACCAAACCCCTACGATGCAAGTTTCATCCTCATGGTTCCGAACATTACCCTCCAACCGTTACTCTCTCGAACCGTCTTCCACCGCAACCACCGCTACCTCCTACTCGCCATGTACAAACGTTTTATTCACGCGCCCCCATCCACCGCCGCCGCGTAACCTTAACCGTTCTCTTTCCTTTCTCGTCTCTCAGAGAAGAAACTTTACTCTCACCTCGCTGTCACCGATCGCCGGCAACAGACGCGCCAGGA